AACTTCAAAATATCCCAGAGATCCATACCCAGACCTTACTCCAGCTCCTGCGACCTTTAAGCGTTTTCCGACATGCACTGAAATTTCATGGTGTCCTTTTCCAATAGTACCTGCGCTTGTAGCACTGCATACTCCAGTCAGCACGCTAGGAATATACAAAGTGTTATTCATCTGCCTGTATGCAAAAATATCAAGCTTTTCTGGCTGAGTGCACTCATTTCCATCGAACCTCACAAACCACCTCGCTCCTTTGTTTCTGCCTTTTACACCAATATTGCTGGAGAAGGTAATGCGTAGAAGACTCTGCTGCTGCTTCTTGTTGAACGTCATCGATGAAATTTGTAGAATATTGTGGCGGTTGGCGTTATGAACAGCTTGATACTTGTATCCAAGTGAGAATCGATTGCACTGCTGGCCTTCAGTCTAACACAAACCAGAGAACGACAAAGAGATAGTATTTGAACACGGATGGTGGCCCAATGTAACCAATGGATGAAAACGAAAGACAAAGTGTTACTAGTTATGGTTTGCTGACTGTTTATGATCTGATTATCGTTATCAAGTACGGGTAGCATGGCTCACTGCTCAATATTCATTTAGCATGTAGGGCTGCAGGGCCTTCCTTTCCTGTAAGATCTGAGTATTTCGGTGGGCAGGTAGTCATGACTCATAACATTGTGTCCTTCTTTTCTATCCAAGTAGATAATTATTAGTAATAGTATTCTGAACTGCATTAAGTTTATCCACATACCATCGCAGTTTCCAATGAATGATGATAGCAATTATTATGATATGCCTTTCTCCAAAACCGAGCCCGCTTTACACTTCTAATATTAGTTCCCGAATGTGATGAAGCTCCACAGCCTGCTATGTACATTCAGACAAATAATGTTTGCAAATAAAGCGACTTAAACCATGATGATGACGAGTAGTGGTGCCGACGGAGGTGGTTGTATTGAAAAAGGCGCAGAAGCAATTTGATGTACGGTATATTCTCTATGTGCCCTCACCTGCAACACTCTGCTCATGTTGTTCTGCAGGTCTTGAAAGTTCTCATCCATGGCATCAACTCTATCTTGGATCCGTGTGAGGAATGCCGAGATCTCGTCGGATGCCCTTTGTGCGGATCTCTCGCTCTTTTCCTGAAGACGCTCCGTTGCTCTGGATAGCTTGGACAGTGTGGATGTCATGTTAGACAGAACTTGTGATGACAACCAACCTAACAGGAAGAACAGAAAAGCACCAGTACCAAGCAATCGGCTTTCGCGCTAAAATATTAAAAGTCTGCCGAATTATCGTGCATGTTGGAAAATATGCACAACATACTCTCAATGAAATCAGATTTTGCGAGTGAATGTTAGGTCTGGCGTTGTGCATCCCCAGGGCTGGGGAAATATGGGCTGTGCACTGGTACAGGGGTGCAAACTGGACTTGTTTCACTGTAACACGAGCTTTCTGCATCCGTAGGAACGCCACCGCCCTTCAAGGATCAAGGCGCAGACGCAGCTCCTAAGGCGGTAGGAAATAGGATTTCATTTTCATGAAAAGAAGAGAAGTACACGAGTGCAATGTTTCTCAGCAATACACGAGTACATACAACAGGTGGGATTTCTCAAACCACAACTCTACATGCAAGGCTGTTGCACAGGGATTTCAGGTGGTCGAGGCCAAATGGGATTCTTAGCCTGAAAGGAAGTTTATTAATTTACGAAAAGCATTGTTTTGCACAAATTAGGCTGGTCAAGTTTAAAATTTGAAAATATCCGAATTCCGACGCCATTTACAAAGCTGGCAGCTTGTTGCAGTTACCAATATATGACTTATTATCACTATATTAGTACATGTTGATGTGTTCATGTGTACGGCTAGCAGCATTCACACCAATGTCCAGAGTCACAAGAGTCAAGTGGAGCTTTGCACGGAGAGTAGTAAAATACCTACTCCCTGCTCTGCACTTCGGATCGGATCTCACGTACAGCAGAACAATTGCAGTTAGCGACTTGCTGCTTACGTGTTTCACAATGGCGTCCAGTGAAGAACGGGGAACACTGGCATGTGTATGCATCACCGGTCTCCTCGCAGGTACCACCATGATCACACGGTGATGATGAACACTGACTTGCAGCTAGGCAGAAAACAGCGCAGTCACCAGAGGAAATACACGTACATCTTACTTCGAAGTACATGTAAATACCGGTAAGCAAAGGAGGCAGGCAAACTGAGCAAATCATATTGATGTTTTTGAAGCCTAAAACTTAGAAGTAACGACTTCGGAGGAAATAGTGATGAAGTTGATTGTTCCTACTTGAAACAGACACTTCCTGCCGAACTTGACATTCGACTGACTCACGACTGCCATCCGGGCCCCGCTAGGAGCACGTCGCACATTCCACTCGACAAACCTGCAAGAAAGCACCACTCCCTGCTCAACACACAGTGTTTCGGGGAATTCACCCCTCATCAGAAGCATGTTGCAATCTTCCTCAGCCTAATGAAGATC